AAATTATAATACTTGCAGATTTTTGCATTTAAATGATACAAAAATTTAGTTTTGTAACACAGAAAACCGTTACAATGTACCGAGGCGGTGCGTAGCGGCATTTAATATTTCATAGACGTAACCAGGGCTTCCCAATCTTTAGAACACCTCAACTTATTCTAACTGGGCGAAATAGATACAAGCAGTTGCCTACATATTTCATCCCATCTGAAAAACAGTTACGCCTGTTAGGAAATCTTGAAAGCGACTTCGAACTCTTTTTGTTTGATGGTTTAATTTTCACTCGATTACAGCTACAGCTGCTGCTCTGCGCTTTACAATATTACGGCACGCCTGTTGAGAACCCCTGGATTAGATGTTTCCTCATTCATCAGACTGAGAATGGGGCCGACGATGCCACGTTAGCGATGCTATTGTTTGCCACTTGAAGGTCATCTGAACGGAGTCAATTTTAATTGGACCTATTCATCAGCTGTTGGCGCTCTTCGATAGCCGGATATTTACGCTATTATCTCAGAGTTTGAATTTATATCAAAAAAATATTGTTAGAAAGAAAAAGATGTATTTGTATAACGGCCAAGAAAGTAAAGCGACACCTGTGGTTTTTAAACTACGGTCCCTTAATTGGCATTTGAATGTTTCATATACTAGCGATGTTATAGAAAGTTTTTACCCAAAGTTATCCCACGAGTGTTATCGCTATCGTCAAATTTAAATGATGGCATCTTATATAATGTTTGTTTCCATTGTACAATACTTGTATAAAACAAATTTACATGCTCGATTGAGTCCAGTAGGTGCAGTATTAAATTACAAATATCATTATTGGCCGTGACAATTAATTAATGCCGTTTACAAAACAAGTAGAAGGTGTTAGTTACGTTGATATACGACGTATAAATTATATTTGTGGAGAATTGTAGACTATAAATAAGATAAATGGGAAAAGGACCAGCAATTTACCGCCACACAAATATAGGGATTATTTCCAACCATCACCCGAGATTAAAAACTTACATCCGTCCCACCATCACCAATAAGGTGACAGATGGAACCATTAAAAAAAAATAAGTTCTAACTGTCCATCCGATACAAAAGGTGGGACGGATAAAACTTTTTATTCTCATCTGTGCCCACTTAGGGACAGAGCGGGATGACGGTTGGGAATCCAAATATCTCTGTGAATATTCTAATCTTGCTGTCGAAATATTAATATAAATATTAAGAAATTGTTTTGTGTTATATGTCAAATTAAATCGAATTTTACAATAAACCCGTATGTCATAAGTTTTATAATAAAATTTGTACGTGCGTTGGATAGTCGTATGGTCACGTCTGGTGCATGAGGTATGTTATGTGTGAAAGTGCCCTGCCCTGCTCGTTGCGACGCGCAAATTGTCCACATGCGACTTAGAAAAATTAGAAAGTATAGCCCCTACTACTTGTGCATTCGATCAGGAATGTTACCGGTAAGGGCGTAATGTTCTAGTTAATATAGTTGATACTAGAAAAGGAAAATGCAGTGGAAGAGATTACGTAACGGATGTCAAAATGTACAA